GCACAGAGTGTTGCAAGGGGCATTGCATGGGGTGTTCCATGTGGTACTGCAGGGAGGTGGGGGCAGCTGCCCCCCACTAGCTTAGGGTTTGTTCACTCACCCACCTGCCCTGAGCTGGTTTTGGGGCCAACCTGCTCATGGGCAGCTCCCACAAAATGCTGCCAAGGAGAATGTCACAAAATTGGGAAAGCATCCTGAGTCTCCCCCACCTTGCAGGACTATTTTCCCTTCCACCTACAGCCAGACTGAGATGCCCATTTAGTGCAAACAGACGGATGGGGACAGAGCTTTGACAGGGGGTCTCTCTCCATCTGAAGGAGATGGGAAACCCTGAGCTCACCCTTCTCACCTCCTTCCTGGGTAAAGGCACAGCCCTGACCCAGACCACTCTCCTTTCTTCCTTCCTGCTAGGAAATGTACTGCACAACCTTCCTGCGACTGATGCCCAGGACTGCAATTTCCAGCCCTGGGGGACCTGGAGAACAGTTTGCATCCTTTCCCCTGGGAAGTGAACAAGGAGGCAGAGTCAGGCTTGGGGACACCAGAATGTGCTTCTCTTCCCATTCTGCAGCCCAATGTTGGGCCCCAGCTCACCTGCACGGACTGAAATCAGGGCAGTGGGTGCCACCTCTGGATGCTGAGCACCCAAAATACCCGAGGAGAGGAGCACTGAAGTGGTGGCATCACCACTCTGGGTGCTGTCCTTCACTGAGGAAGGAGACAAAGCAGACGTGGCAATAACGCTGACGCCTGGCAGAGCGCAATGCATCTTTATTGTGTTGCCTGCAGCTCCTGGAGATGTGTCATTGCTGCTGCCCGAGGTGTTCCTTTTGCCCAGCCCCAGGGTTGTACAGTGCACACCTATGGTGCCCCCAGGCCCTGTGATGGTGTGTCCAGGACGTGTCCTCCTTGTGTTTAAACAGATCAGAGTTTTCTGCCTCTAGCTATTTTCCTAATGCCCAACCCTCTGTAGGTTCAGTGCACTCTGGTTGCCAGCTTCAATTTACTGCTGGGCTGCTTGTATTCATCTCCCACAGCTCCAACCCAGCACTTCTCTGCCTGTGTGTGTGCAGCCACACCATCCCCATC